GCGGCCCCTGAGTGAGGGGAACTTGGGGGAGAAGTGCAGAGCGGTGGGGCGGGGGTTGCCGTGATCCTCCTGTGGGGAGAAGCGCGATCTGAAAAAAAAAGAAAAAGAAAAAAAAAAAACCAGAGAAAAAAAAACCAACACCCAATCACAGTAATAATTAAAGAAAAAGGCCCGTTCTTCAAAAAAATCTCTTCGAAGTCAGTCTTCTGGAACGTGGGGCAGAAGTGCGTTTGTTCCTGAGGATGCTCTCCTCCTGCTGAGACTGTCAGTGGGCAGCTGCTTGTGCTGGGTTACGCCATTAAGACCCATCAGCAGCCACAGCCCCCCTCACCTCGGGGCTACCAGAGGACACCAGGGAAATGGCCTTTTCTGGAGTAATTCTGCCTCGGTGGTAGAGTTAGAGAACGTTGTGCTCACTGGTGTCTGTGCATAACAAAATGGTCAGTGTCCAATTGGTAGCAGTTGGATAAGGTTCTAGATGGACTGTGTGCTGTTAGTGTTAGACAGGCTCAAGTATGTAAGTTGTGAGGCTGAACCGTCTTGTTGTCCAAAATGGGCTTGTTCATGCGTTAGTTATATGGTCTTCATGACCATAAATATCATTGTAACGTAATAACAATAGTAATAAAGATAACACTGCGATGAGGAGGATGTTTAGCTTTGAGTTTTGTGGCAATATTCTTGTATTATCCAGTATCTTTATGTATAGTTACACAGTTGTGTGCTTCTCAAACTCAGGCAGAGAGCTTTTCATTTTAGGCTTGTTGACTTAAAAGAAAAATGGTGCTGTTGTGGGTGTTATTGTGGTGTGTAAGGAGGCCCTGGGTACAGCTGAGATGTCCAAACAGGTGGACGCATAGCATTGTGTCACTGCATGTAGGGACCGTGCAGATCTGTTGAAATTTTGCACTGGAGTTTTACTCTGCAGGATATTGTTCGTGATTAACTGAAGAGCCTTGATATTTGGAAAGGGAGTAAGTAATCTTTGAAGTGGATTTCTAACTAGCTAAAATCTAATGTCTCCTGTTGGGGGACGAAAGACCTTCATCCTCAAAAGTTCAGAGGAAACAAGCCAACCGCAGTGACCCTTTTTGCAATAGCGTGGTTAATTTTTTTCTTGACATGGCTTTTCTTTGTGATAGAATATGGACTGCTTAGGAAACAAAATTCTGTTGTGCTTTGTGTGCAGTTTGATTTGTCTGTTTGTAATACGCTGTTTGATGTTGGTCGCTGTGATGCAGGAGAGGGTGGCACTTTGGAATCTTCTTTCTAAGGGTTAAAATTCCATTTGTTAGTGTATGGAGAGGATACTGCAAGTGTTTGCTTCCACAGGCGTTAGTTCTCTCTATTCTTTTAGGTACAAACCAACTACAGCTAACTCTTACAATTTGAATTAAATTACAAAGTCGGAGTATATTTGTTATTCTATGTTATGCTGCTGATTTACTCTAAATACATTGGAGTCCTGTAACCACTCTTTTTAGTTGCTCTTTCTGGGTGTTCCTCATTGTGAGGAGTCTATAAAAGTGTCTCGAAAACGGAGGTAAAAGCAGTGACAAACGTGAATGCTTCCTTTCAATTTCCTCCTTCTGGTGCCCTCAGGTTCTTGTTGCTGCATCCTCTAATCTACCTCATTTCTCAGTTACAGCATGAGTGAGAGATGCTTACAGGGAGGGGAAGCTGACTGCTTCAACTACTGCTAAATGTCTGAAAGTAACAGGATAATATTCTGTATCAGAGAAAAATATTTTCTTTATTTTCTCTACTATTGTATTCTTAATATTGACATTTAATTTGTTCAAAGCTCTCAGCCAAAGTTTTGCTGAAATGATTTTTTTCTTCTGTGCTTTCCTACAAAATGGTTTCAGTGAAGGTTTTCTTGTACCGTCACAAGTACTATTCAAAATTCTTGTGTGTGTGGTCACTTAAGTTTAAGATTTTAACAATTGTTTAAGTTGGAACAGATCTGTGCCTCACGCAGGTGCTGTGCAATGCAGTACAATCCTGAGAACAGGCTACTAACCAGACAGTGGTTTCATAATGCAAACAAATGTTTCCTGGATGCAGGCTCGAACTCTTCGTGTCGTTTATGTTCTTCAGTCAAATCTGAATCGGTGTTTCAGATGGCAAGCAATTAGCAACCTGCTACTTGGTCTCTGTACTGTAAATGTTTGAAGTAAAAATTCTGACCTACGTAGAATGCTGTCTGTAAATATTTACTTTGGACTACTTCTAAATTATGTAAATATCCAGGAACATGCTGAATTTATCTTAGTCTTAGTTTCTCCTTCAATGAGTCTCCATCGAATAATGATGTTTTGTGATGCTTCCTCTCTCTTCTGTGCTAGTTCAGCCTTTATCCACTGTCTGGTAAGCGTTGTCCACAGTCTGGGCCTACCAGGGCTTCAGCTGGTGTGCACACAGAAAGCTCAAACTTACCTTGGAGCTATGTTTCCTCCCAGTATCCTGAGAGAGATTTCTGTGTCCTTGAATAGCTTCACATCTAAGCCGCTCTTGTAGTGCTGCCACTCCCTGACTGATTTGATAGGCAGTTTTGTTTCAGGCTTCAGGAGGATGTTGGTCTGTGTGGTTTTGAAGTCAATGACTTCACCTGCTTATGATTTCAAAGGCTATTGCAAAATTAAGTCACTGTGTTGGTTTAAAAAAAAAAAAAAAAAAAAAAAAGTAAGCCGTTCTGAAAAACCCTCCTGTTTGTATTTCTCAGCAGTAAGAAACTCGGGCAATTAAATTTTTATGCTGATATTATTTGGGCAGACTGTTGACCAGGACTTAGAAATTGTGTGTGTGCAAATTGGCCTTGGGTAAACCTGAAAATAAAAATGCATTCACAAAGACGGCGAGGGGAACACGACCCATAAATGAGAAAAGACAAGATAAAATTATAAAATATGCTTAAACTAATATAATGTCTCTTTTAATT